CATGGTGACCCTTGCTGGTTCGTTTATGCCGCAAATGGAAAGTAGGAAGCTACTATTAAACACAGGGGAAAGCAATGAAAACGTTCCTTCATTGTTTGCAAGCTTGGTGCTCAATGCCCTTCCCAAGGGTACCACCCTGCCGGCGGCTTCTGCTCCTAGTAAGAAGGGTCTCTCGACGACGCTCAATAACAAGAACCTTTTTGTTCGTAACCTTGCCAGCCTTGATCGGATTCTGCAGTCTGTTCCAAGCCCCGGCGGTGGCCATTAGTATCTCCCTAGTTTCCTTTTTATCTTCATACATGGCCTTCTTTTTTCTTTGTTTGTTTGAATATTTTATCTACAAATTTTACTATGTTTTTTTTTCTTTTAATTCTTTTTTTTTTAAAGTTTGGACTATTTTATTGTACACATATTTAGAAGTGTGTAGTCTGTCAATAAGACTTTACTTCATTCTTTCTTTCAGATTATATCCTTTCAATTGGGATTGATTTTGTTATATCCCTTTGATCCTTTCCATTGCCATTGCCATTGATCTAAGAAATTAACTTTGGGACACTCATGGCTAGTCACAAACGAATGCATAATTTTATGTTAGGGAACGAATTTATAAAATTTTAAGAGAACGAAAACATATTTTTAATAGAAAATACATAAAAGAAATCTAAAATATATAATAATTTTAAACTTTTAGGGGCGACCCCCTCGATTCATCCCTGGCTAGTGTAGCATTTTTATTCCAAAACTTTTCAGTTCACTGTATGTAAATTATTGAACCGTTGGTTTTCAGAATAGCAATTTAACATAAAAGTTTAATGTTAAATAATTGAGCTAACTTCTTTTTTGTTTGTCTTTCTAAAAGTACAAAGACTAAATTCTAATAAATTAAAATATGACCAACTTCTCAATCATTATAAAAATATGAGTAACTTCAGTGTCAAGCTTATTTTAATGCAAATGATGGACTCTGTGGTTCTCCTTAGGTCTCCCCGTCAGTTGGAAACCTCTATTTCCTCCAACTATGATTTTGGGATCATACTGTGACTTGTGATTACTATATGACTTGCCTATTTAGACAAATTATTATGAGAAGACAAGGATACCGAAGGAATGCCTCTTATCAAGTATGACACGACCTTATCAAGCAAATGCATCAGAATCAAATTCTTTTCGAATGCATCACATAAAAGAAAGAAAATTATATGTTCAACATGTTTCATTTTATTAAATTTATTTTGAATTGTTAACTTATTCAGTATTTTTATATCAACAATAATCCATCAAGAATGGCAGCGACAGGTCTCGCTGTCAATGCAGCTTTGAAAGCATGTTCCATGCGAGCAATTGGGAAGGTGAACCAGAGATTGCTTGCATGATAGTTCTAATTGTATTTCTGTTATGACGTCTCTTAATCTCACTGGAGCTTCATCAATATGATATCAAAATCAAGGATTTAAATAGTGGTCTATTATCTGAATAGCGGATCGATGTCGTCCGAAATTGTTATTGCACGACAACAATACCCACAACGATCGCAATAGCACTCGTCATTTCCGCAATCGCGATAAACGCAACCACGACCATAATTTAAATCCCTTATCAGAATCACACATATTGGTCTTCCAGCGGTTAGTCGTTACCGATCGAAAAATGTTTCATCAAATATGACGAGCCGTGACTTGGTTCGATGCTATTACTTAATCATAGGTTATTTGCTTCTCTTTCTTTCTTGTTACTGAAGATGCTCAGGTTCCTCCGATGGCTGAAACTGATGTGGAATAACAAAACAAAACTTGCAGAACTTTGATATTTATCACTGCTGAGTATATGTTATAATTTGATTTCTTCCAAGTTAAGGGGTGATTCATGTATTTCCAGCTTCCAACGGACTCGGAAAAACAACAGGATAAACAAATCTGAGCTTCTTCCCATTCATTTCGCGGCTCTCGACTAGTGTACAAACTAGAGGGCATTGTATCCCGCATGGAGTCGGAAACGATGAATATAGTTGTTTTTTTTTAATTTATTATAATTTTATACGGTACAATGATAAAATTAGTCTGCAATGTTTGTGAAAATGATCACTTCGTCTCATATACTTTTATTGGGAGCATTTTAACTATGACATTTTAATTTTTCTTCAAAATGATCAATGTTAGATGAAAATCATTAGTTGACTAACAATCAACACATGTTGTTGACGTGATATTTTCACATGTATTTAATTGATGATGTGGATTGTATCATATCACCTAAATAATGACATACCACCCAAAATGATGATATGACATGTGACACGTTATCAAAAGTAATAATGTGGTACATGACACGTTACACAAAATGATGACATAGCATATGTCACGTCATCAATTGAACACATATGAAAATATCACGTTAGCAATATGTGTTGACTCAGTCAATCAACATTTCCATTCAATTGATGTTATTTTGATCAAAAATTAAAATTTTAAGAGTTAAAATACTTCACAAAGAATAAGGAATAAAATCATCATTTACACAAAAATTAAAAACTAATTTTATCATTATGTCTTTTTCTAAACAAATTGTTATTTTATTTCTAATTTAACACTAATGTCCTGCAATCGTAAAAGAAGTTATACGTAGTAGAGTATAAATCGAATATTTAAGGTTCAAGTAATTTTACAATTTTTACACATGTTCGTTTAGTTGATGGTTAAATATTCTTTTCAAAAAATAATAATCTTAATTTTTTTTTATCTCTCTCTCTCTCTATACCCTAAGAAAAAGTTGCTCACACTGATTTATCCACATAAATAGTCAGCCAAAAAATATGATAGATAGAGCCAAAAGCCAAATGCAGATTGACCGTGGTTTGTAGGGATGAGTAAAATTCGACTTAAAAAATCAAATTTTTTTAATTTTGAGTTATACGAATCAACTTAAAGTTCGAGTCGAGTTGAAATTTCAAAATTTTGAGTAACTCGAAAAATTAAAATTTTGGATGAATATTTTGACAGATTTATAATTTGGTCCCTAATTTCCTACTCCTTCAATTTCACTTCATTTTAAGTCATTTTTTTCTAAATTTGAACCACATGCTCCTAAATCATCGTAGAATACACATGTACTTTAAATTCAACTTTTTGATAACAAATTTTCTATTTTTTAAATTTAGTCCCTTAATTTTTCATGATTTTCGTATTTATTAGATGGATTTTTAATTTAATTTATGTGTCAAATATATTAAGAAAATAATAATAATAAATGTCACATTATAAAAAATAATAATAAAATAAGCAGTGGAATTTAAAATATGAACAATTTTAAAATTGACTGATTTAATTTAAAAATTTTAAACTTTAATAACCAAAATATGAGGAGTAGGAGATGATCGGTGTAATTTACCCAAAAATTAAACAAAACTAAAACATAAGATGGCGCGCCAGATAGGGGTCGAACCTACGACCTTCTGCTTAGGAAACAGACGCTCTATCCACTGAGCTACAGGCGCTCGTGTATCATTGGTGCATATACAAAAAATACTTTCATATTTATGCAAATGATTAAACGAAAGAAACTTTGCGAGTAGCTGAACAGTATTAGTAAGAGGAAAAAAAATCCAGGTATACAAGTGAATGTTGAGAAATACTGACTTGGAATCCCATATCAAAGCACAACAATTCCTGATTTAGTTACACAAAAACCATAACAACAAAGCGGTTATGCTTGGCATTCTATGACCAGAGATTTAAATAGCGGTCAACTATCGGAATAACAACTGTTATATAGCGGTAAAGGTGTAATTCGAAATCGTTATTTCATAATTTCTTCCAAGCAATGGTTCTTCTCCTCTTGAGTCCATCTCTTAAGTAAACACGATGAATAACTTAGAATAGGTATTAATCAAGCATCTTCTCAGCCGACTGATAGAGCTCGAGTACTCAATCTCGTAAATCAAGTTCATATTCATTTAAGTGAGTACATTTTATGGAGGAATGGGCGGTCAGGAACTTAGATATCGAGGGAAGTGTATGCATTCAACTTGTTACAAAATAAGTATGGCTGTGGGATATCCACTAGATAGAAGCTGGTAAGGATCGAGAAATTTTATTTTTCGACACATTTGGAACTAATATTGTGTTTACTTTTCTCCCAATCATCCGACCACCAACCGAGTGGGCAAGATAAATGTTATAGAAATGACATATGAATGCCCGTGGATCATTATCAGATAATTATTCATGATACTTAAAATATGCAACACCCGGAGAAGTTCTCTTTTGGACTTGTTGAATGTACTTTAGACTTTTTAATATGGTTTTGAATGTGTTTCAATATTATTTTAATAACATGATGTGATGGATGTGAGTATGTTGAATGTTAGTTTTGTCAATGTGTAGGTTCAAGTATGTAATAGAATTTAATGCGTGAAAATATAGAAATTTGTTGATTGATTTGTTTGAGAAAGATTAAATGCATGAATATAGTATGTTAGACTTGTTGGAAGCATGAGATTACCTTTAATACATGAAAAAATATGTATGCAATATGACTTAAAATGAACAATAGGATCTAAGTTTTGATCTAGGGTGTTTTGTATTGTTAAACTTGTTATGCAAGTGTACTTTTATAGTATGTTTGATATGTTGGTAAATTGCTAGGAGCAATGATTATAATGTTCGATGATGATTTGAGGTTGATTTATAGCTTTGAAATATGAAAATTATGTTTTTTAGCTTTTTAGAATAATATCGATATTAAATAAATTTAACATCAATATCATGTCCTTTGTAACACTGATACTAGATCAAGCTATTAAATCTAGTGGTTTAAATCAAGCTATATGTAACATTGATACAAGATAACACTCGCTACTCCGAGATTAATGGAGAGTTGAACATTTTGTTCTCTTCCATTCTTTGGCAATTGTGGAAAAGTAGAAATAGCATAATATTCCTACAGCTCCACATCGACCCCAAGATATCCTTCCATATTGCTATCTTATCGGCCCTACTACTCCAATGCTCCTTCCAGTTCCGTGGTCTTTGTCGGAGGATGGAAGGTTGTACCTGAACACGGACGGTGCTCCCTCACGTTCAACCAATCATGGCTCAGCAAAAGTTCTCATACAGAACTCCAATGGTGATTGCTTAGTTGCTTTTCGCATGTTCCTAGGCCATACTACGGTACTAGAAGTTCAGCTTTGGGGCATCCTTGAAGTTCTCCGAATTGTATGGCAAAATTGTTTTGAAAGGATTGTTGTTCAAACCGATAGTAGCGAGGCTCTTCAATTACTCTCTCTCCCGTCCATAGAAAATACTTTTGCATTGGTGAGATCCATAGCAACCCTCTACAACAAATCTTGGTGCATTGATTTCAAGAAGATCTATCGTGAAGCAAATGTTGCTACGGGCTACATCGCCAAGATGACCGCTCTCCCGGATGGTTCTCTTATTATTTTTTATTCATTTTCTGCCCCATTACTAGATATCCTTCGTAGAGACACTTATGGTCCGCCTTACTCTCATGTGAGAAACTAATGTAATGGTTTTAACCTTCTTTTTTTTATTGAAAAAATAAACTTTTAACTTTAGTCTTAAAATTTAAAAAATGCAATTAAGTTCAATTTTAACTCAAAGGAGTCTAAAATTTCACCGGTATTTTTATTTTTTAACTTAGTTTCATAATAAAATCAAAATTTTGAAATTTAAAGTTGATTACTAAAATTATTCTAAGTTTTTATGAATTACTCCATAAAAGGTTATTTTTGTAATTCACTTAGATTTATAACTCCATTTTTTGCTGAAAATTTTATACTGGTACTATTTAACATGGTAATAAACGTATTGATAAGCTTAGATAAAAGTTTTCAAAAATTGATGTGTAAAGGCGGATCTGCCCATATGTATGTTTAGATTAAATTTTGTCGAGTTAAAGAATGGTGATGCATGATTATATGGAATGTTATGTTTATCCGCATGTTTTCACTATTTTCTTTTAATTTTAATTAAAGAATGGTAATGCATGATTATATGGAATTAAAAAAATGTTTAGATTTTCTCTCTCTCTCTTTTTTCATAAGATGAATGCCTTATTTATAGGGGCTTCATAAACTCTAAAAAAGAGAATCCTAGTATCTTTTCATTAATATTAGATACATAAAATAAAAATAAATTATATCATAATAAAAAATCCTAAATTACCCTAAATAAATAATGAAAAGTCTAAAATTGAATTTAATTACAAATAATCAATAAAATAATTAAAAAATCGTAATAAATCAAAATTCTTGAATTAATTGAACACATATTCAATTTTCTTCACATATTATATTCGCTAAAATAAATATATTTTGAGTTATCAATGTTCGTTTAAGACGTTTCAAAAATGCCTTAGAAATGCACGAATGTCACTTGAAAATTTATTGAAAATTGACGGCGTTTCATAGTTCACAATCAACTTCAATAAAAATATTTGGACCTTTAAAAAGGATATCCCGGCAAATTGGATATTACATCTTTGTACCTTGTTTTGTACGTGACATAGTGATATCAAAAGACAATATCCTTTGACACGTCTTGTATGGATTATGATGGTCTAACCCTTTTAATATATTAGTTATATTGTATGATGATAACTGCTCCAGAATAACTCATTCGGAGAGGGTTTAGGGTACCAATGGATAAATAAATAATAGAGTAGGCCTAACCCATAATGTGAAGGACGTAGTTAGCACTTAGAATCATAATTATATAAATTTGGAATATGCAATTGAAGGTACAAGAGATGCTTGAAGGTCTATACAAACATATATAAAATGCCTATGTATATGGGTATTGATGAAGAAAAGCATTGTATTCATTTTTCATTTCAATCTATGTATTGATTTATAGTTGTTTTCTTTCTTTTAATTTATTATATGATGTAATATTTAATTAAAATTTCAACTTTAATATATTGATAATTTTATGGAAAAGTTATTTTTTGATTGTCCGGCACATAATCAAATATACTAAAAAAATTGTGTACCAATGGCATAGTGGACTTCAAGTACTGCACAATATATTGATTTTATTAGCTGGCTTGGTTCGTGCATCCATTATATATATAATAACTTTAATTATATAGAATAATTATTGTTAACTCTATTAGAAATCCATTTATTATATTTATAATTTATTTTAACCCTCTAATTATTAAAACGAATATTTTAGTCTTTTTATATTTAGAAAAGTGAATTTTTACTAAAATATTAATTTAAATATCTCTTAATTTTTTTATCAATTTAGAAAAATTGTAATTTAATTCTTATACAAATAAAGACAACTCAGTATGACACTGATCTTTTATTTTTAGCATGTATTCAATTGTGATTGGATAGTTTTATAAATTTTAAACATTTTAAAACTTTATATAATATTTAAAATAATTTAAATTTTGAAATCATTAAAAATATAATATTTTTAAATATATTAAATTATTATGAACATATTAAAGACATTATATTAATTTAATAATAAAAACTACCGTTGTGATTATGAGTAAAGTACCTCTAGTTTTTATTCTACTCATAATTTAAAATTGTTTAGAAACATTTTTATAATTTTCTTGAATATTATTTTTTATTTTTTAATCCTTTAAAAGTGTAATATTTTTTAATATTATTTTTTAATATTTTTATTTCAAAATGTTAATTTTTTTGAAATTTAAATAATATTTTAAGTTTTATTATGTTTCTTTTTATGATTTTTAATAGTTTTCTTCAATTTTTGGAAAATTTTATTAAAATTTCACTAATTTTTAATGTTTTTTAAAATTTTATATTTTAATAAGTATTTTAAATAATTTAAAGTTATCGTTTTTTATTTTAAATTTTTTTTTGAAATTGAAAAATCAATGTAGCACACATGTAACATATCAGTGTATTTAATGAGTTAGTATCTCATGAGTTGCTCAAACTCAACTCGATTAAAATTCAATCAACACTCAACTCGAGTTGAATCAACTCAAGATATTAATGAGTTGAGTTGAGCATGATCTAATTAGACTCGATAAGTTCACGAGAAATTTGTTACTTTTTATGATTTTTTTAGTAGTTATCTTAAATGTTATTCCATTAAAAAATTCTAACTAATAATTATTAATTTACTAATAGATAATGAAAAAGAAGTTAAATTGCTAATTAATAATTACTAATAATAAATCATTTTTCTTATAAACAACATAAAAGATATCAAATTATTAATTAACTAGATTTTACATATAGTTAAAAAATAAGGTAAAAATCTTAGTGAGCTAAACGAGCAACGAATCGGGTTGAACAACAAATTTTTTAATGAGCAAGAGTCGAGTAAAATTTTATCAAACTTAACGAACAATGAATCGAACCAAATAACAAATTATTTTAATAAAGCAAGTCGAACACTATTTAATTCATGGCCGAATCACTCGATAAGCAACCATATAACTTATCAATCAAAAAATTGAATGTCGTGATAGATAATCTTTATTTGCTAATTTTTGAAATAAGGAACGATTTGTTCTTGTTATACATCGATAAGGACCTAAAAAATATTTAACCAAATATTTAAATTCAATTGATATAGTTAACATTTTAAAGTAAAATATTTATTTTTTAGACATTTTTTTTATAATTTTTTATAAGGAATGGAAGAAAAATTTTGTGGAAAAGAAAAATGACAACCAATAACTTTTAATTATTTACGTATTTTTAAATAGCGGAGAAACTAAAATGGATTATTGATGTAGTACAAAAGTTTCTAATATATTTTAATTAATAAAAAAATATGGTTCACTTTATTAATCTATTTTCCATAAATGAAATAATTGAGAAGTGGGAAAGCATGTTATGCAAAAGTTGTGATTGTACCTAAATCTTATTGCCATTATTCATTACCTTACTCGATTTCTCACCATATTTTCCATGTGCTTTATCTTAACCATTTGGTGCATGTATTCCATTTTTTCCTCCTTTGCAAATTTCGAATGCAAGTTTGGAATATCTGGTCCCAAATATTTGCATTTATTATTAGTTTTTATTGATAATTTTAAGATTAAATTAGGGATGTATATGGATTGAGTTGGAAAATTTTTTCGATCAATCCGACTTGACCGGATAAAAAGGAAAAAAAATACATCTTTTACTTAAAATTCAATTCGACTTGAGTATATGATGATTTTATCTTACCTAAACTCGAACTACTTTTGAGATAATATACATATCCAACTTTACCCGACACAAATAATATATAAAAAAATGTTAAAAGTTACCCTCACAACTGAAAAATATATACTTAAAGGAGCTAAAAATGTTGAATTATAGATTTAGAGTTAATTGTATAATGCATCCCAAAATTATGATCAACATTTTAAGTTGCCCCTTAAAATTTTAAATATTTCAATTTTATCCTCCAACTATGATTCTTATTTTAAATTAGTCCTCAAACTTTTAAATATTGGATTTTCCCCAAACCATGATTGTCATTCTACTTTAGTCCTCAAACTTTGAACCTTACAATTTCATCTCCAAATTCATCCAAGTATACAATTAATTTCAATTATTGTTTAACCTAAATTGTATTTTTAAAATATGATCTAACGATTTGTATGTGATTAGATATATAGACAGTTGAAATATTCATATTTATGGGAATCAATTTAGAATGAGGGTCATAGTTTGGGATGAAATGAGATGCTCAAAAATGTGAAGACTGATTTAAAATGAGAGTTATAGTTTAAGGATAAAATTAAAACATTCAAAACTTTAGGTACTAATTTAAAATAAAATTCATGGTTTAAGGACTTGAAATACAATTAACTCATAAATTTATTATTATTTGTTGTTGTTGATGTTGTTATCGTTAATATATTGCCTCCAGCAGCAACCAACAATGTCTGACCCTAACCAGCCTGGAACTCTCGGCTCAGAGCTGGTCAAACCCACTTGTATTCTCTTTAATACCCCCATTCTTTTCCTATAATTCCATCCATTCCAAATCCTCCTTCCATGTTAATATTTACAAATCACAGAGGCCTAAATGACATCTCACTTAAAAGAAAAAGAAAAAGAAATAGTTTTTTTTCGCCTCCCAAATCCCAACCACAATTGTCTGAATCCATATGCACCAACAAAGAAACGCCTCCCTCAAACCAAGTCGTGCCACGTCATTCTCATGACTTCACGGGTGACGTGTTTTCCTTCCAGCTCAGCTCCCTATCAGCAAAGGATGACAACAGATTAATTCATGTATATTTTAAAATTCGAATATGTTCTATTATTTGTATTTATTTTGAGCGATTAATTAAAACTTAAATTCGTTAAATATCAGTATTAGTAAATAAAATAATCATTTAAATATGTATTTTTTTATTCAAGTAAAGTAAATTATGATTTAAGACACATTCAGGGTTAAATATTAAATCAACAATATTTGAATAAAAAAAGTAAATACTATTATTATCTATTGTTAGAGGTGAACATTTGATAGATTCGAATATAGTCTAGTAAAAAATTAAATCA